GTTGGCTTCGGGATGATTCCCTGAAGTCATTTGAAGTTGACTGTCCATCTGTTCTGCAGTCTTCTTCCACAGTTCACTTGTGAAGTGGACGTCTCGGTCACTAATGATGGTCTTTGGTAAACCAAAGTCCCTTACCCAGTTGTCCTTGAACAACTTGATGACATACTCCGTCCTGGCTGTCTCTGGCATTGGTATTAGTCTAGCGTACTTGGTGAATCTATCAATGATGACGAAAATGTGCCTCCACTCTTGCTGGTCACTAGGGTGTCCATGAAATCCATGGAAACACTCAATCCTGGACCATCAGAATGGGTAAAGGCTTCAATAACCCAAGCGGTGCTTGAGTTCGCGGCTTGTCCCGCTGACAAACCTGACAGGTCTCAACATACTTCTTTGCGTCATCTAGCATTCTGGGGCCACCAAAATCGTTGTACTAAGTTAGCACTCGTCTTCTTGTAGCCAAAGTGCCCAGTTGCGTCACGACATTCGCCTAAAAATAAACTACGCAACTGTTCACTAGATGGAACTACCAATCTCTTTACTCCGCCTTATCAAGATAGATTAGCCCATCCACCATCACAAACTCACTTTCTGTGGCCTTGTCTTTTGCCTGAAGTTTGCGGATGATGTCCATCGTGACAGAGTCTTCCTGATAGGCTCCCACCAATGATTGAGTTACTTCGTTAGATACGCCAAATACGGAAACTAGCGCACCTAGGTAGTCTGCTTTATGGGATAGCGCGTCTGCAACCTTGTTGTACTCTCCCTTCAGCTACTCAAGTTTGAAGTCATATTGGTCTATGACCTCAATCCATCGCTTGAGTGCATCAGAAAGAGCCGGTTGAGTCTTGATCCATTTGAGGGTCTGATAATCAGTAATCAGATAGAAGAATCTTCCCAAAAGGAAGTGTCTCCAATGGACAAGTGCCTTGTAGAGGCGTAGAGTTCCCTTTCGTAGGTGGACTTAGCCAATTTCTTCGATGGCATCTTCTTACGCATATACTCAATCGGTCTCAACTTTTTCCCATCCTTCTGAGCCAGCACTGCGCCAATGCCGTATTGGCTTGCGTCAGTGGTCACTATGAATGGCTTCTGCGGATCGGGAACCATGAGAACTTCGTGATTCATGAGTGCATGCTTCAATCTCTTGAAAGCACCCTCGCACTCATCACTCCAGTCCCACGGTGTGTCAAGTTGAGTGAGATCTGTCAAAGGAGAGGCGACTGTAGAATAGTTCCTTACGAAGTTCCTATAGTAGCCGCACATTCCTAAGAAAGATCTGACCTCAGTAACTGTCTGAGGTCGTGGCCAGTCTCGAATACTAGCCACTTTCGCATCTTCCGGCCTAATTCCCTCCGCGGATAGTTCATGACCCAAGTATAGAATCTTAGTGCAACCGAATTCACACTTCTCTAAGTTGACCTTATACTTGTGTTGTCGTAGGAGTGAGAGAACTGTCTCAACATGTTGTGCGTGCTCCTCGGCAGATTTACTAAAGATCAGAATGTCGTCTGGATAGACTACGACAAACTTATCTAATGGTCATGGAAGATCCGATTCATAGCGTGCTGGAATGTGCCCGACGCATTGCAAAGACCGAAAGGCATCATTACAAACTCATACAGACCATGTCTAGTCTGAAAAGTTGTCTTGTGTTGGTCCTCAGGTCTTATTGCAATCTGATGATATCCGGATTTCAAGTCTATCTTCGTATAATACTTGCATCCCTGCACTTTATCCAATAGGTCGTCTATGCGGGGTAGAGGCTCTGCGTTTTTATAATCAATGCACATCCTCAAAGTACCCCCCTTCTTCGGTATGAATAGCACAGGTGATCCGTAAGGGGAAGTACTAGGCCGAATCCATCCCTTCTCTGTCAGCTCCTTGCGTTGCTTCCGAAGTTCATCTAACTCGGCAGGGGCCATCCTATAGATCCTTCCCTTTGGGGTCTTACTCCCTGGAATGATTTCTATAGCGTGGACGACTTCCCTATCAACAACTCCTGTGGGCTCCTCGAACAGATCAGGGAACTTAGCAACGACGCGTTCTATCTCCGGGGGTGTTTTAACGGCCTCCCCCTTCTTAGAGACATAAACAAGGTACATACCTTCCTCTTGGTTTTGCTTATAGTAATTGTAGAACGCAGATGCGCACAAGTAGCCATAGGTATCTATAATACTACCGGCCTTGAACTTAGTCATTCTGACAGTTCGGCCATCGGGCAACTTCTGTATGAGCACCTTCTTATCCCAGTCAAACCTGGGCTTAGCAATATTGAGGTAGTACATGCCTAGCAACATGTCAAATGGCAAGTCGTTACTAACCAAGAACGAGATCTTATGGTTAAGCTCACCTCCTCCATAGGAGAAGGTACAGACTACGTCCTTGAGGTAGTCTGTGACAACCATGCGCTCTTTGTTGGCCAAAGTAGATGCTACTGTCCTACTAAGGTGCCGTACCCGGTCCTGTAGGTGCAGCCTTTCCAAACAGTCGCGACTTATGTAATTTCGCATGGAGCATGTGTCTATGAAGGCACCACATTTGCGGCCTCCTACATCCACTTCCACAATGAAATGTTCCCCTCTAGGACCCTTCTTTAGCGCCGCCCAAGACTCACGAGGGTCCTTGTTTGACCACTCGCCTTCTAAGTCTTCTAAGGCCTCAGACACATCTAACGTACAGAGCATAGTTTGGTCTAGATGCGTATGCGGGGTAGCTAAGGAGTCATTAGCTTCGGCCTTGTCATGAATATGCGGGGTAGCTAAGGAGTCATTAGCTTCGGCCTTGTCATGAAGTGAGGAGGGTATCATTCCCGCTTCATCTTGAGTAGAAGCCGCTATCACTTCCACTGGCCCTACGCATTTCCCAAGCTAGAAGCCTGGGAAATAGTTGCCCCAACCTTTGGTGCAACCTTTTGCGTAACCTTAGCGTTTGGGCACTTCCACTGCGTGTGTCCGTGTTCACCGCAGTTGATATA